TTGAGAGAGGGAGAGAGGGAGCGAGGGAGGGAAGTTAGTTGGGGATTTAGCCAAGTGTGAAGGTCCTAGGTTCAGTTTCCAAATATCGCAAATAAAAAAAGAAAACACACGCGCGCACACACACACACACACACACACACACACACCCTCAAAACCTAAACCGTGTAACTTAATATTCCCGAGGCCACGGTGTTCCGCGCGCACACCCACACACACACCCACACACACCCACTCCCCTGTCAATACCAGCAAGGACGAGGCAGACAGAAGGCACGAGTGAGGCCGGAAGGGGCAACCGGGTGCCGCGCGGCGGGCGGGCGGGCGGCGCCATGAACAGCGGCGGCGCCGGCATCACCTACGCCAGCCGCAAGCGGCGGAAGCCCGTGCAGAAAACGTGAGTGTCCGGCCCGGCTGCAGCGGTGACGCGGGCGCGGGGACCTCCGGGTGCCGCAGCCTGGGGCTCGCCGCCGACCTCCCGGGCTTCTGCGGGCGCGGGCGGATTAGACGCCTAAGCCGGCCGTGGCCGTCCGGTCCCCTCGAGGGCCCGCTGCGGCGGGCGAGGGGCGTCTCCACCTGCTGGGGCGGGAAGGTGCGAGCCGGCGGCCTGCGCGCTGTCGTCCCGAGAAGGCCCCCAGGGTCGCCTCCCCGGCCGCGCGCCCCTGCCCCAGGTGACCGCAGCGCCCGGCGCGACCCTGCCCGGAACTGTCACCCGGGAACTGTCAGCGGGACGCGCGGGGAGCGGGGAGGGCGCTGGACGGCCGGCGCTCTGCGCGCCTTTCTGGAAGCTTTCTTCTCACTTTTGGAGTGGCTTCAGAGGGTGTAAAGTAAAAGATTTAGAACTGGACTTAGGTTTCATTATTAGTATTAACCTGCAATCCCGCCCCTCCCACACGCGATCAAAATTGTGGCCTATCTAATGGTGATTACAAATTGGGATTTTGTTTTGTGTATTTGTCATGTATTTATGTGAGTCATGTATTTGTGTGAGTCGGTAAGTACGTTAGAATTTTTTTTTTTTTTTCAGGAAAACTGCCGCACTACACATCTGCTTTTGTGACTTGGCTGTATTGATCGATTATTTTTAATCACTGTCTTTGAGTTCTTTTTATGGCGTCAGTATTTTTCAGATTTTTATAAACGAGTTTTAGAACACAGAAACCGTTTTTTATAGGAACTCAGAAGGGTACATTTGCTTAAAACTAACCGTCACTGTCTGTGAACCCAGAAAAAGAATAGTTGAAACTGGGTTCATTATTCTAGATTTTTAGTTTTCTTTAAGACCTTACATTATCATCATTCTTCAGATCTAGACTTGTAAATGAAAGTTACCAGAAGATACACTAACTGATACTTGAAAGTTTTATGGTACAGTGTTTCTAACAGGAATATTGCCGAGTCAGCATTCTTTTGTCAGTTCTGAGGTTTATATTTTTGCCGAGTAGAATGGCTTCTTCTATTAAAAGATGTTTGTCAATGAGAGGCATCCCAAATGCCTGTTGTATGTATTTATTGATACAATTGTATATTTAGAATAATATATAGTATGGGTATCATGGGTTTATGTACATAGGTCAGAAAAGTTGAAGCCCTGGTGGGTTTTTTAGACGTTGAGGTTTAGTCAGTAAGCCCTTAAAAACTGATGTCCATTGTTTTGTAAACAAAATTAATGCCTTAATTGTAAAGTTTAACAGTTTTGATTTCTGGTTAATATTTCATGAAAGATCTTTTTGCATTTTCATTTTGTGTAAGAGGTTCCTTTTATATTTTAATGTACTTTCTTAGACTTGACTTGTATTTTCCTCATTCCCCTACATGTTGGTCATTGGAGACATTTATCAGCTCTTTATTAGTGAATACCATCAGTTGCTTCTATTAAACAAATGCCTTAATGTCACCAACTTAATGTATAAGAAAAGCCTAGTGCTGGCATTTACATTAACAAGTAAAAGTGTTTATGTAAGCTTTTTTATGTGAATGAAGGACACAGTTAATCAAAGTTAATCACACTCTAAGAATGAGATCATTATATTTAATTATATGTTTAATATGAGTTTTTAAATTAACTACTAGTAGGTGGCTGATGAGGTGAAAACAAACATTGGGAAAAATTACCATCTTATTTGAGCTGGACATACTATCCTGATCTACTTAACTTTGTTTTTGTAAGTGAGAACCATTTTATTTTATTTATAGAGAAAATGTTTGATAGCATAATTGTGGAACTGGTAAAGAAAGATTAGATGGCTATTTGTATATACAAGACCATAAATTCTTAAAATGAAGTTGGTGACATAATTTTTACCTGAAGGTCTTTTAGTCAGTCTTCAGTTAAGCTTCTAAAACAAAATAAACTCCCTCTAGTGGCTGGTCTCACATCTTTAGAATGTATTAAATTTAACCCCACTAAAATATATAGTACACTGAGAAAAGTTTCATTTCTCTTTGAAGCAATGAAAATTAGAAAATTGACGGATTTGAAGCAATCTTACATCTGAGCCCCTCTTTTCTTCCTTACAGAAGAAAATTTCAACAACCTACAATCTGTCGCAACTCTTTTTAGAATGTTGTTGCATACTTCGTAAACCTACTCAGAAAGAAAACAGATATATTTTATTTAAAACATTCTTGCTTTATTCTCTCTGAAATGAAAACACCTCTGTGTATTTGGTTATTTCGTCTCATGTAGTGTTGAAAACTGCACTATAGAACTAAATGGATGGCTGGGGAGATAGTGCTGTGGTCTAAGCACCTGCCTGGCAAGCATAAAGATCCAAGTTTGAATCCTAGTATTGCGTACTATGCCGGCCCCAGAACCCTGAACACCACGTGCTGGCCGCTAAAAATGGGCATGGTGGCACATGCTTGTAATCCTAGCACTGGGGAGGCTGAGACAGGAGGATCACTATGAGCCCGAGCCACATAGTGAGACCCTGTACCAATTAAGACTTCTTGGGGCCTGCCCCTTAGCTCAGTTCTTTACGTGGCTGTTCAAAAAAGCAGTCAGGCTCAGTTTGCTGTGGTTCGATCCCCACAACTCAAGCCAGCCAAACCTGCCCTGAAGGCATTTGGAGAAAAAAAAAAAAGATTTCTTAAAAACTTAAAAACAGAATAAAAACTTTTTTTTAAAAAAATAAACTCTTTTTCTCTAGTGATGTTAACTTGGAGTATATTTTTGAAGTTTTGATTATGAAAGAAAAAGTTAATACTTCAATTTTTCATATTCATAGAACATTAGTACTGAACATTGGTGTTGAATAAATGATACCTACATTTAAAACTACAGCTGCAGTGGTGATAAGCTAGCCATTATGAATCTTCAGGACCAGAAGGAACTTCTGGCATCAGAGGATCCTCTGTTAAAATGTACGCTGACTTACCAGTAATATTAACACCCTATAAAAGCCTAGTCTTCTCTTGCTAAATTGCATTTTATTTCAACAATATGAACCTCAGTTATAAAGTATACTTAGGAAATTTTATTACATCTATGATACACATTAAATGGTTCATATAAATATAATATGCCATTTTCTAAATAGCACCTGAAATAAAATAACAGGTTTTTTTCTGTAGCAGTTATTTCTCCATTATTTTCCTCCACAGTAGTTTTGTTTAGAAAGCATACACATTGTGGCTGTGGATACTCTTGCACATTGGAAATGCCAAAGGAAATAAGTGAAAATGTTTAGCTATAGGTTATACTAAGTGGCAAAAAAAAAGAAACAATTTTCTGTAAACTGAGAATAATCTGAAATAAAAGCTGATGTTTAGTTTGCTGATGGTTGTAGAGCTGGTCAAGTTTCTTGACATGAAAATAAAGCCGGACAGTATTCCCACACTGCCACTATCCCAACTAAAACTAGCAGAAAACTAGCTTTTAAACATTTTATAAAGTGTAAAAATTGCTAAAGATGCGAATGAGATTGAAGTGTGAGTTCCATTGTCAGTACTTTTAGCTTGGGTTAGCACAGAATAATCAATTCTCCTTTGAAACAGTAAGAGGCAGTATATGAGTATGTTCTCAAGTATAGATTCAGATGAAACAGGCCATTTCATTGGTGGAGACACTTAGGTCCTTCATGCTTGTTCATGTGTTTGTTAAGACAGTTACTTGGAAATAAGGACCACGGGCATCATTAACAGCAGTACAGTACTTGTCTACTTGTCTATTTCCTTGAAACTATTTTTTGGTATAATTGTTTAACTTCTGTTTCTTGCCTGCACTCTGATACAAACATTGAGCACCATTCCTACATACCTCAATTTTCCACTTTTATGGTAGTGCTAAGGAAACAATAGTAACTGTTATAGATAGGGACCTGAAGATTCAGGCTCAAAAATGGTGAGGCAGGAAATGAATTCCTGAGTTTGGATATTGGATCCTAGATCTTTTGGCTCCAACACTTAGGCTTTTACCAACCTTAGGGTCCTGTCTAAGTGAACAAGCTCAGTGAACCCTATGGTACACCCACATGAAGGATTTTCTTTACTCTGCTGTTTTTCTTTAAATAGCTAGCATTATGGCTGAAATAAACACACAATTTGTACTTGTTCATTCTTGTTTTTAATGTTCTTCCTTAAAAGTCTTTTCCTCCATGTTGCTGACTTGTCGCTTACCTTCCCTTTTAAAATACTGTGGTAATATCTATATGGGGAGCTATTTCATAATTTATTTTGCTGTTTTTCTTTTGGAGGAAATGCTGTTATTTCCAGCCTTTCAGTATTTTAAGTAATATTTTCCAGACACCATTAAGATACGTAGAGTAAGCAAATTATTAGTTATTTCCTTGGGAAAAATTTCTGTGAGTGAATGATAGAGGTATATATCCTTAAGGTTGAGTCATATATACCAAAGATAGTGTAATCAGGACAGTCTGTCCCAACACTGCTTACTCATTGCGGTATAAGAAATTTGCTGCTAATAACATTGCCACTGGTGGTCTATAGATACACCTATATCCATCCATTCCTGCTTGAAACTGTTAACTGTTTTATAGATTAAAAGGTGAAGAAGACAGTTGTATGTGGTAGTAGAAGTAGGTAGGTTTGCAGATTTTCTACTTGAAGTGTCTTTTATATATTAATTTACTTTGCTTTTTATTTTAAGCAATTTGTCCTTTTTTCTGTTGAAACATTTAAAATACATAACTATAAAGTAGTTATGTGCATATGTGCATATTGGCCAGTTCAATAACAGGCATGTAGTGCCCTCTTAAGTTAGTTTGTTGGACATTGTCCTTTGGTGTCTTTTGTAGCGGTTAAGAATGTTAACACTCTTTCATCTCTCCTTCATATTTTTCACTTTTCTTCATCTCCACAATTTAAAATTGAATACACTTTTTGATATTTCATGATTTTTGACTATATAAATATTATTTAGTGCCAAGCTAAGTA